AACCCTCAAATTTCCCTGTTGCAAAATCAATTGGTGACAAGAAAAGTCCCGTGGACTTTTCCGGAAAATTCTAACGGAAAAGTTGTGTACATTCTTGTTGCAAAATCACTCGAATGTCTAAAACCCAAAATAATGGACAGTTATCCGGATATTCTGTATTATCCGGATTTTTTGATTTGTCAAAGACATTTCAAAATGGAAATTTTATCTGAAAAGCACAATATTAATCGAAGCCATTAAATCGTGCGTGCGGAGCTGTCTTGCCCACTCCATTAGGCACAAAATTCCCCGCCGGGTTTCTCGGAGTCGTTATGTTAGTCGCAACCATGGTGGCGCGAGTCTACCAGTATTGCGAAATGAAGCATGCATCTTTAAATTTTTGTGTTTGTCGATTATTTTTATCCAATCAGAAGCAATACTCTTTACTTTCTGTCGTGTGATTGGGTAGCTTACAAACGCCAAGGACTTCAACATATACGTGTATTTTACTACTGTAGTACAAGTAGTGTAATGGTCTAAAGTTTGGAAATAACACTGAATCGAATAAATCATTTTGTGAATTCGAAAAATGGCGGGTGGATCGCGGAAAGTCGGCGGCAGCGTTCCCGGGAAAGGGACTAGACTCACGGCAGCAAGGGAGGGCGAACTATCATCGCCCTTGCCCATCAAGCCATTGCCCAGTACCACTGCACGAAAGGAGAAGGTGAAGGTCCGCCACGTCAAGCACTTTCTGGACAAGATCATTTGGGGCCGCGAAGACCAAGCCATCAAACATCCGTACTACATCAAGTTCTTGGACAAGACGCAGTTCACGATGGGAGTACTGGGAGTCATGATCACGCAGTACTTTGTGGTGGCTCGGCCAGGCCACTTTTGGATGTGGTACCTCTTCTGCACCCCCGTAGTGATTGCACTTCGCATCATGCACTTCAAGCGAGTTGGGTGGCAGTACTTCCTCCTGGATTTTTGTTACTTTGTGATTCTTCTATCCATTCTACACGTGACGCTGCTTTACGATCCGAGCACTTCCCATCGCGTACTGTTCCGCATCCTCTTCATCTACGCGAACGGTCCGCTTGTATGGGCCGTCGTCTTGTGGCGAAATTCTCTCGTCTTCCACGACATTGACCGTATGAGCGGTGTATTCATCCACATCATGCCGTGCTTGCTCTACTACTGCGCGCACTGGCACGGTTGTCTCACGTCGGCGTGGTTTACCGAACCGGTGTATTTTCTCCCGCCGTCCCAACCTCGCGACGCCATCGACACCTTCGACTTTGCGCTGGCAACGCTTGGATACTTGGTATGGCAAGTGCTATACTTTGTCAAGACGGAAGTGATCGATCGCAAGACGTTGGAGGCGCGCCCCGACCTGCTTACGTCGCTCCGGTGGCTCACCACAGACCAGAAGAACGCATTCAGTCTGTTGGTGTTGGCAATCTGCCGATGGCTCGGCATCATGGGGCCCACCGAAGCGTACGATGCACGGTCCATCAAGACCAAATTGATCTTTGTCACGGGGCAGTTGGTGTACACGAGCATGACGTTTGTGCCAACTCCATTACTCTTCACATCGCATCCGCTGCACTCTTTGTATATTCAGCTCATCTTCGTCGCGGCCGTGCACAACGGGGCGTCGTACTACATCGAAGTGTTTGCTAAGATGTATCACAATAAGCTGCACCTCTTGTCCCAAACCGAACTTTCGACAGGAGCGTTGGCCCCCCCCACGGCAGCCGCGATGTCCACGAAAGGCGACTACGATGAAATGTAAAACTGCTACTAGTATGTATCAAGGGACTTTTTACAACGTGGAGCATATGATGCAAAGCAGAAGTGGCGTCATGCCTCGGCGTGGTTGAGTCTGGTGGAAGTGACGTTATCGTGAGGTAACGGGATCGCTTGCCAGTTGTACTGTCACTGAATTAACTTAGTGCGATGCTTGCTACGAATGTTGCCGCCCGTGAAACATGCATACTTGCATAGGACGGTTCCAACGCAGTGCTGACAACGTCGTCGATGTGGCAGCAGGGAGGAGGCACTTTGAACGAACCTAGGCGATCTTGGCTGCGTCCAACGTGACGAGGTGGGTCCAGTTCACGCGCTCGACACCCAACACCCCCGTGGGAAAGTGTGCCATGAAGTCGTCGCGCATGGCCGCAGTGTGTTCGGCCAAGTACCGATCGAGGTCAGCTTGCGTCGCGGCCTTGTACCGCGTTCGAAACACGCCCGCCGCGCTTTGCTCGAACTCAATCGAGGCAAAGCATCCCGTGTTGAGTATATCGGGCAAGTGGCGCCCCGTCATGTACGCAGACAAGCGGTCGGCCACGGTCTCTTCGCATCGGACGAGCACCTCGTACACCACCGTCATCGCAAGTTTGTTCGGAATTAGAAAATGAGGGTTTTGACCCAACCATCATACGTACTATATACGTTGATGAAATTTACTCCGTTTTCAATTCGTTTTCGTCGACTTCGCGTGGGATGGCAAGAGCCGACACCATTCCCCATGTGGCCATTAGGAGCCGACGGACAATCCTTTTGCTCCTTCCATTGGCGTCCAAATCACCCCTTATATGTTGCGTTGCACGAAATCGAAGGCCCAGCGACGAAGTCTAGCGCTCGCCTCGGGGCTGACGCGACGACAAACGGGCACTACCACCGTCGAATGGGCAACAGAACTGTCCGGCACTTGCAATGGGCACATAAGACATTGCGTCGGCACACACGAATTCGAACGCCACCCCAATCATCAGGCGGCGCATATGTCTTTCGTCGATTGGAACATGGTATGCCCAAATTCCTTGTGTCACCCGCCAAGCTGCTCCAAACACTTGCACGCAACTACAAGTACGACATCGATGGAGCCACTAGAGTAAACACTCTAATAAGAGCGGTGATGCGGTGCCAGATCAGAGTGTTTTCGACCTGGACTCAAGCTTGCCGGTGAATAGTGACAATTCATGCGCTCAATGAGTGCGTTCGGTGGCTCGAAGTCGCCATGATACATCCGTGGACTACAGCCATGACTCGATTATGTTTTCAATTGAGTGGGGCCCCTTCTGTTGTGGCCACACGATTCACGTGATGGTAGATGGAATTATCGAGTACACACTGGCGAACGAAAGAAGCAGTGCCTCCATGGTGGTGATGGGTGGTGAAGTGAGGAGCTAGCAAGCGACGGGTTATGAGGACGAGTCGCAACTGGGCAATGCGTTGTGCATCTCGTCTCCATGGGTTTCTTGGGTGGACTTTATGCGGGTGTGCCTCGAATGTCTTGAATCATTGTCGGTGGTAAACGACGTTGGAGGGGTGATTACTAGTACATGACTGGGTGAATGATGATGATGCATTGGAGGAGTTGGTTGCGCCACTGTACTCCAGCTTGCATGTGCGCCCGATCGCTTCTTTCGCCGCTTATACAGGAAGTGCCTTGACTTTGCGTGGAATGGCATGGCGTGCGCGCAATCGGACGGTGAGCGTAAAATGGATCTTGTTGGAAACGGCATTTCCGGATAAATTCGGATGCCCATCAACTCAACAACCCCGACATGGCGCTGGTCAGCGGCACATTTACAAAATGACAACGATGCGCTCGTTGCGTGGCGCGGTCGCGACAACACATGGGACAAGAAAATGTTTACCGACATGGTAGGGCGACTGCCATGCACTTGCCCATGAAATCCAGATGACTCATCCATGCTCGGGCGGCCGTCCGAGAAGAATCAACTTTCATACGCCCCGACGAAGGCGTCCCTTGTGGGCGACAGTCTCCGACGTTGCGAGTTTCATCTCATTCTACCCCCAGAATAAGCCCCCTGTCACATGTCACGTCGTCACAACGAGCTCGACGTAGTGTGGGGCCAGCGCGTTTACGTCGCTGCACACATCGCTTGGGTGGTCGTGGCAATGGTTCACAATGCCAGGCAAAATCTCGTGAGGACTTCAGTCCACGGCACGCAGTCGCGGCGCGTGCTGTACATGGAGCTCAACACATTGCCCTAAGGATCTTAGACATTCGCTGGACGACTGTCGCGACCACAGGAAACGTCATCGCCCACTGCGTCGATTTCGATCGACGATGGGACATCGGACCTTCATCGGCTCAATCCCGGCAATTTTCTTGTCCACTACACTGATACTATCGCCGTGTACGTCCAACTAATCTTGCGCAACTCGTATTGGAAGAGAGTCGGTTGCTTCCCCTGACTTGGACCGTTGCCAACGGCGAAGCGGTGGTTAGAAATGATCGACCGGCAGCGTCGCTAGCGTTTGGCATTGCAGGCGAAATGCAGTTCCTCACGGACTGAAGTATTCGACGATACGACTTGCAATGGCACAACGAGGTCCAGCCTGGCATCGACGAGTCAGTGGTCACGGCGCCACGTAGCACTTGAACGGAGCGTGATGCCCGACATGACGAACAATGAGCGCGCCATGAAGCGGCTGCGGTTGCCGTTCTCTGCGTTTGTGTCGAGAACGCTTCCAACGACTCCGAAAAGTTCGCCATCAAAAGCGCGCTCAACTGGTGGGGGCACCACTTGACATATATCGGTGGCTTGGCGTGCATCTTGTGTTGGATGATATAGCTCCGACAAGCAGATGCTTGCCACGAATTCGTTGGCAGGGGATGCGCTACGTGCTGGCGTCCTCCCACGACTGCGACGCTGAAACGTGGAGGTCTTGCTCCACACCAGACGACGTGACTTGAGTACTAGCACACTGGTGAAAGTCGTCATTTGTCATGATGCATGTGAAGTCGTCGTCGCAACGGGTGGACCCAGTGCAATTTTGCTCCCCCCCCACTGCACTGCTGCCAACCCTTGACAACTGCGTCGCACGACAGATCGAACTCCCGCCTCTCAGGTTGGCACCGCCAAACAGTTTGCCTCGCGAACGAGATGAAACCCCCCCTTCCCATTCTTCGACACGGGCCACGACTGCGCTGTCAGGTTGGGTTCCCGATGGCGATGTCATGACAAGTTTCCGATGGCGATGTCATGACAAGTTGCTGCACTCGCCACAACGCCCATCCACCTACCCAGGCAAACCAAAACGTTTGCATTCGATTACAAGTGCGGCACGTCCTTGCATATGTGCACCATTTGGGTGAGGATCTCCATGGTGGGGGATTCATTCCTCGAGGCAGCATTCGACACGTTGTGATACCATGATTCCAGTGCCATGGAGTGCGCCCCACCCCCCGATTGCAACCCAGCGCAAAATTACCAGAGGATACGTTGCGTGGACGTGGGGAAGTACCCCTATGGAACGCAGACGTTGCATCTCGGGGCGCGTGGGGTGGAACGAGACGGCGTCGCGGTGATTGTCGTGTTGGAGGGGGCGAAGCGAGCCGGCTTGAAAATTTATACAGACTTTGTAAAAGGATCTATACATGTGCCGGACACTGACACCGGCGAGACTGAGCTTCGAGCCAAATGTGTCGGCGACGCCATCATTCGCCACGCACACTTGGGCCTTGTTAGAGGCGGCGCTTTTTGGAAGTCTCGTGGCCAGTGCTTCGGTGGATGTCGCACCCGAACGTGTCCATGAGGACCTTGGCCCATCCTGGCACGGGGATCGATCGACGGCCACGCGCCAAGTCTTCCAACACGTCGTAGCAGTATGGACTGAGATGCAGCTTGAAGCTTCGTTTGAACGAGTCGGAGTAGTCGAAAACGCCGCCAAGGCACTCG